CTTGGGACCGAACTTTAATGACGTGCACTTAGAGAACAATAAGAAAAAGTATATTTATGGAGGTCATGTATATATTTGGATCCAAATTTAAATATGCATTTAGAGAGGGTGTGCACTTATAGAAGGTGCACTTATGGAGGTTTTACTGTATCATATGTTGAAAAAAAGACTTATTGTTGGGTTTGTACCAACTAATACCAGCTTGTATTCCTTCATACAACTTAATATTATATGAATGCCTAAGTCTCTCACTTGTTTCCCCAGGTATACTAGCCTCATATCTCAAGCCAGGTCCCTGCTGCTACCACCTGGTTTGTTGTTTCCAGGTCTTAATATTTTCTAAGTTATATTTTATTAAATTTAATAAATTTTTTATTTTAATTCTATATGATTTTAAGATTAAAATAAAAAAAAATTTTTAGCAAATTTTATTAAATAATTGTTAAGATACTTTAATTTAAAAATTAAAAAAAAATTTACTAAAAATAATTTGTTTCTTTTCTATTAACTCACTTCTATATTTTGAATATTAATGATATTTATTGAAGTTTTTAAATCAATACAAATTGATTAATTGTTATATATTGATTAATATCTATTTAAAAAATTTTTTGATAGTAGCTATAGCATTAATATCTAATATTTTTGAAACTAATATTTTAATTGAAACTCTTTAATCAATTATTTATCAAAATTGTAATTGTTCTAAACTTTTTCTATATAGATAGCTCTATTATTAAATTTAGATCACTCTAGTGCTCTATAAAAATAGAATAAATACAAGTTCAACATAACAATATTCTGTACTCTTTTTATACTCAAATCAAACTCTGATTATATTTTTTTAAAGTCAAACTTACTGCAATCTTATTTGTATTATTATAGCTTCTAGAAACTATATAGTTTATATATATACAGACTTATAGTTTGTTATATTCAAATTATACATGCTGACAAAATTATTTTAGGTTTCGAGATACGAAATTAAAATTTGAAGACTAAATTGTTTTTGATCTATTTTACTTAAAAGACAAAATTTTTTAACACTTTTTTTGAAGAGACGAAATTATAAAGAACATAACTATCTAAATTAGATTTGCTCTTGTATCTATATAATTTGGTTATCTCAAAACCGATTTCAACAATAGTTCTAAATCATTGATCAGATCTACTAGTATACTACTTGACTATATATTAATAATAATCTAATTACAAATATAGTTTTAGTTATCTACTTTAAAATCTTTTTATATTAAAATCCTACTTGATGATTTGTCTATTTCATATATTTTACACAAATATAACTCTTTATATTTATCTGTACTGTATACTACCAATATGATCAAACTAGTATCACACTTCATTAGATAATATACCCAACTTCTTAGTCTCTTCAAAATCCAATTACTAGCTCATTTTAGTTAATAATTAATATATCTAGTCTTGATTCTTTATTGAATCTATTTCTAATATATATTAACAAATCAAAAATCTTGCATATATGCAAATACACAACTTACTAAACTCTCTATTTATACTTTCTGGTCTTATTTCTACTAAAATTTTATCAGCTTTCTAATATTATATTATTTAACAAAATTGCTATATTACTTCATTAGGAAGTTTTGAAAGGTATTAAAAAGTATTTACTAATATTAATTGTTATTTAATACTACAAACAGTAGAATAACAAACTCTATACAGACTAATAGCATTGAAAAACAATTTTATAACGTATTAAACAATATATTTTATTAACTAATACTATTTAAAAATATAGATTAGGTGCTGAGAAAAGAGACCAAATTGACAATTTTTTCAAAAAATATTTTTTTATATAAATCAATTTAAAATAAGATTAGAATCATTTTTTACTTAAGACACAAAAGTAATTGTATTAATAAAATTTTGTAGTATAGCTCTTTAAAGTTTGTATTTTCTTGTAATTTATTATAAGATTTATAACAAAAATTGATTTTCTAAAGATTTTTTTTTTTGTCAATTTGGTTCCTTTTCTCAGCACCTAGCCCATATGGGGCTTTTGCTAACAAAATGACCCTCCGAGCTATTGTTACACAAGATTTTAATTAGTAAAATCATAACAAATCTATTTTTAGTAAAAAAAAATCATAGCAAAGGCCCCATATATATTATTGTGTTAAGCAACTTATATTATTAACTAATGCTATTTAAAAATATATATTATTATATTAAGCAATATATATTTATTATAAAAAATATTTTTTTAATATATTAAGCAATATATAGCAAAGTCTATAACTAATATATGAAATATATGCAATAATCGTTAAGTATTAATTTATTACCTAACATATTGCTAATTAAATTACTTAAATTGTTCTTGCAATTTAATATTTCTCATAATTGCTACTGTATATTCCCAAAAATAAACTACCATTTTTAGAAGAAAAATTATACAAAAATATTACAGTAGTTTATTTTTGGGTAAAAGCGAATTTTTCTCGATTGCGAAACATTTTACTAAGTAAATCGGCATGGCTTATTAAGTGAAAGTTATTCAGGAGATCAAAATACATATATTATGAAAATTTTATGTAAATCAAATAATTTTTTATTAATTGACTTTTGATTTTTACGTTCAACGAATATGAATTTTAAAGAAAATTTAAAAAATTCGTCGAATGTAACATGCAAAAGTCAATTAATAAAAAGTTATTTGATTTACATAAAATTTTCAGAATATATGTATTTTAATCTCCTAAATAACTTTTACTTAATAAGCCATGTCGATTTACTTAGTAAAATTTCGACTTTACTATAGAGTAACTACTGATGATCGTATAAGTAGCTTATTTTTGAGCAATAAAAGGTTTGTTTTTTTTCAAAAAAAGGGATAGCTAAAGCCATGTACCCATGTGATTTTGATGTTTTAGTTAAAATTAAGGTTAGGATTAGGGTTAGTTTTGTGTTGATATAAGAAGAGGGGTATAGGTAAAATTGCCTTCCCAAAATTTTTAATTAGTACCTCAAGACACGTTTAGACTACCGTTTTTGTTTTTTTGTGTTTTCTTTATTTTTTGACTTTTTTGAGCTGATCTGTGTAAACAAAATTTTGCAATTCCGGTTGGTTGATTTATACAAAAAAGTCATGTGGTACACAGCTTTAGATGACCCCCCAAAAAAAAGGTAGCTTATTTTCGGAATAGCTTATTTTCTAGAATATACGATATTATTATTATGATCATTTTTAATATCATCACTACTAGATAATTTATTATAGTTTTTTTGAATTGCTGTTTCTAATATTATGGAAGAACTTGCAAGAGAACTTGCAGAACCTTTTTGCAAACCAGTATTCTAAAAAAAAAAATACATATTCAAATTAAAAATGCAGTTATAACTCTGTAGTTTGTTATAACTATAATAAGTTACAGAAAAAATACAGTAATTCACTATAGTTATAACAAGTTACAAAGTTACATTTACATCTCTAGTTCAAATAAATTAATAAAATCATTAATAAACAATATACATACATTCTTATTATCCTTAGTATTTAGCTTTTGAATTTATATATTGATGAAATTTGTATCAATCTTTGGCGAAAAATATTTCTTATCAAAAATAATTTCAAGAACTGCTTGTATTCAAATAGTATTAGCTTGGGTACATTCTTTATCAGATACAAAAATATACTTTATGATTAATAAAAGAAATGTTTTAGAATTTGAATTATTTAGATCACTAGGATTGTATAAGTTTTTATATACCTGCTTAGAATTCTTTTTCTATTCTTTTATTTGCTCTTTTGTATTCTTTTCACTAAACAGTTTTACCCAATTAATACCAAAGATGCTTCACAGTCCTTCTTTTATATATCGAATATAATAATCTTTTTTAGCTGAATTGCTACAAGCATCTATATATATTAAATAAATTAAATACAATTAATATTTACGAATTAAGTAAGTATCGCAAAAGGAAATCTGTAATTTTAAAAATAGATTATTATAATATTTATAATAATCTATTTTTAAAATTGTAAATTTTCTTTTATAAATAAAATTGGACAAAGATACTACTTCAGAATAAAGTTTAGTATTTCAAAATAAATTAAATGAGATATTCTTGTTATTTAATTTTTGTAATTGTTCTGCGTATTCTTCATCACTTTCTAACATCTCTTTAAACTGCTTCTTTATTTGGTTATTGCTAATTTGTATATGATTATAAAATCATTCATATGCTAGTTTTCTGACTACATTCTATAATATAATATATAATATATAAATAATATGCATAGTAATATTAATATAAAACAAAAATGTATATATACTTGAAACAAATATCTACAGAATTTTTTGAAAGCTTTTTTCTTTGTCTTTTTTTATATTATTATCATTAATTTTAAAGTTTTTTAAAACTTTTCCAAGCTGCACTTATTGTTCTCTAATCAAATATTTGAGCTTGGCATATTTGCTAAAAAGTTGGTTAAATTTTGCAGAGTTAATTTGCATGATATTTAAAATCTTATTTATAATATAAGGATCGATAGTTGCTTGAGCTATTATATAAAAATATAAAGTAATATAGAGTTAAAAAATAAATAAATAAATAATTAAATAATTAAAATAAAATAAAATAAAATAGAAAAAAAAAGATATTATTTTATGAACTTGGAATTTTGATAGCAGTAGTTTTTTTAGAAGTAGTAAGTAGTAAAGATTCGATAATAACTTGAGGCTAAATTATATAAAATTTTATTAGATAATTTAATAAATAGTTAAATACTAACAAAAAAAATATGAATAAAATAACTTACTTCTCTTAAAATAATAACTTGAGGCTAGGTTATATAAAATTATATTAGATAATTTAATAAATAATAAAATACCAATAATAAGAATAAAACTAACTTACTTTTTTTTTATTTTTTTTTATTTTGTGACAAGCCGGTTGTTGGTAAAGTTGATGTGAGTGATGATAATATAGATAATACTAATTTAAAAAATACAAATATGAAAAAAGCTTTTGCAGATAAAGCTACCAAAGCCGAAGATATTACAGATGATTTTGAAGCTAGTGTGGATAGTGTTGATTTGGATGAAGTTGATGTTCTACATTTATTAGACATTACATCTTGGTCACCTAATTGTTTAGAGCATTTCAAAATATTGAAATTCAAGAAGACATTTGTATTGGTTCTCTTTCCTTTTTCTTATATATTGTATTTCTAGTTTTAAACGATAAAAATTATAAAAAAAACTTCTTTATTTATATAAAATTTATCTTTATAAGTAATAAGAACTATGTAGTAATATTAATATTTGAATTGCATGAATTATATAACATGTAATAATAGACATAATAACTAACGCATAAATAATCAAATTGATAATAACATCATCTTATAATAGAGATTTATTAGTACAACTGAAAACTTGCATAAAATTAATTGATAATTTACTACTCAACCAGAGAGAGCTCATAGTATAATATAATACAGTTTATATATAGAAATTAGAGTTTTCTGAATATGAGCTGCTTCTATCTAAAACCTTTTTTATACTAAGTTAACCACTTTTGGGCTTCTAATTGAAGTTGTAGAGCTCATTAAGACAAATCTAATAGTAGTTGAATTATCAAAATCAGCCTTGTGAATTACAAGATATCTTCAAAAAACATTTGCTGACTATATAAACTTCTCTTTTAACAATACTATTGCTAAAAGAGAAGTTTATATAGTTAGCAAAAAATTTTCGAAGATATCTCATGATCTACAAGACCAATTTTGATAATTCAACCACTATTAGATTCATTTCAATAAGCTCTATAACTTCAATAGAAACCCAAAGATAATTAACTTAGTATAAAAAAAGTTTTAGATAGAAGCAGTTTATATTTAGAAAACTTTAATTTCTATATATAAACTGTATCATATTATACTATGAGCTCTTTTTGGTTGAGTGGCAAATCACCAATTAAGTAAATAATTTAAAATTTTACTTACTATAGACAATTAGAGGAGGGCCATTTATCAGCTAATATTTTTTTATTAAGAGGCTACCCCTCCCCTATCTGATTTTAAATAAAAAATTTTAATTAGTTAAAACTATATACCTGATAATTTTTTTATCCCCTCCCTCTCCTAAAAAATCAGCTGATTTCTGGTGCTCCCCTTACTTCATAACACCATATTTTATTACTAGTCAACATGTAATATATCTAGATTAATCAATACTGTATAGTTTTTAGAATCATCTTTATATTACAATGATCTTTGCTATAAAAATATAACAGCATTGTTATCAGTAGGATTCCTCAAAATCAAATTAAATCAAATATTAGGCTTATTTGAATTTGATTTGATTTAAAAATCTAGATTTGAATTTGATTTGATTTAAAAAATCT